TAAGACATAATGCTATAAAAGGTTGTAGAACCTGTAATATTTCTAAAGAATTTCTTACAGATGATACTCAAAATATACCAAAAATATCAAGATATCATCATATTACTGATAAGCAATATAATGAGATATTAAATAAAAATAATGCATTAGCGAAAAAAAACTTAGCACGAAATATGGTTTAAGATTACAATATATTGCTTTATAAAAGTTATCTTTGAATTTTTTAGTATAATTACTAATATTTTCTTCATTAAAACTTTAGAAAAATTTTATTTTAATATATCATTATAAAAAATTAAAAAAAATTTTTTTATTCAATTTAATTTAATTTGAAAAAATCAAATAAATTCAAATTACTTAAATATTTGATTTGATTCAATTTTGAGAAACCCTACTGATAGTGATCAAAAGTTTTTAATTATCTCATATGAATAATAATATTTAAAGGAGTAAAACAAATATTATTTAAAGATAAAATATTCAAAATTCTTAGAATACATATAAAAATACAATAGTAAGATATAACATGAAATAGTGTTTTGCACAGATCAGATCAGATCGGATTTAGGCAAAATATGATTCAATCCAAATCCATAAATCTGAATCTAATTCGATCCAAATCTGACAAATCCAAATCTGATTCGATTTGAATCTGACAAATCCAAATTTGATTTGATTTAAATCTGACAAATCTGAATCAGAATCCATATCTGAATCTGACAAATCCAAATCTATATCCAAATCTGAATTCATATCTGATGGATCAAAAAATTTTTTAACAAAAATCTGCTACCACTATTCAGAATGGCATTTTAATGTTAAAAAAACAATTTTACTGTTTTTTTAATAAAAATCTGCCTCTGATGTTCAGAATGGCATTTTAATGTTAAAAAAACAATGTTTTTATTTTTTTAACAAAATAAAATCTGCCTCTGACATTCAGATCGGCCCTTTATTATTAAAAATTAATTTTTATTGTGTCTAACTTTTGGGATAGTATTTTAATATAAAAAATTAATAAAATTAATTTTATTATTAATAAATGCCGTGTTTGACTTTTGAAGCGGTATTTAAATATTAAAAATTATTAAAAATGAAATTTTAATAATAAATGCTGTGTTTGACTTTAGAACAGTATTTTATTATTAAACATTAATAATAAATGTTGCTTTTGACTTTCAGAATGGCATTTAAATATTAAAATTATTAAAAATGAACTTTTTAATAATAAATGCTATGTTCGACTTTTGGGGCAGCATTTTAATATAAAAAATTTATAAAAATTAATTTTTTTATTAATAAATGCCACATCTGGCTTTTAGTTATCATTTTATTATTAAACGTTATTTTTTTAATAATAAATGTCGCCTCTGACTTTCAGGATGGCATTTTGTTATTAAAAATTAATAAAAATTAATTTTTTAATAATAAATGTTATGTTTGACTTTTGGGTGGTATTTTATTATTAAATATTAAATTTTTTTAATAATAAATGCTGTATCTGATTTGAAACCAGCATTTTTATTTCAAATCTAACAAATTAGATCTGAATCCAAATCTGAATTTATTGGATTAAATCAATTCCAAATCTAAATCTAATCCGGAATTGACAAATTAAATCAAATCAAAATTCAGATCTGAATCTGATTTGAATCTGATAAATCTGATTTGATCTAATCCGTCAGATCTGAATCAGATTCTGATTGAATCAGATTTTTTGCAGAATACTAACATGAGATAATAAATAACATATGTAATGATATATAAAAATTGTGATTTCAGTAGTAGTAATATATAATAAATTTTTTATATATATTATATATTATATTTTATAATTTTAAATTATGAATTTTGTATATATAAAATTTATTTAAAATATATATTAAACCAAATTAAATATTTGAAAAAAAGTTAATTCTAAAACTTTATAAAAAAATTTTAGTAAAAATATTTTTATTATAAAAATATTAGTAAAAAATTATTTTTTCAATTTTAAAAATACTAGAGGTTAAAGCTGATTTGGTATAAATTGATTTAAATACTATTTAGTTTAAACCAGTTGTAATATATAAAGTTTTAAATGATTCAAGTCAAATTTTGAGTTAAATGAGTTAAATCAAGTTAAGTCAAAAGAGTTTTGAGTTATTTAATTTGAGTTGGATTTTAAATTAAATAATTTAACTTTAGACTAAAATTAAACTCAAAGTCAAATAAAATTTAAGCTTAAAGTTAGACTAATATTGAGTAAAAATTTAACAATTTTTTTAAAAAAAGTATAAAAAAATCATTCTAATAGAACAATATACACCATTTTTTTAGAATATTATTTTATCATTTTATTATAATGATACTTTTATTATTTCTTTTAATATTCTGATAAAATGATCTTATATGTTTCTCAGAATAATTCTTTTTTCGTTTCTTTAGAATAATGTTTAATTATTTTATCATAATCTATTTTTATTATTCTTTTAGAATGATTATATTATCATTTTATTAGAATGATTCTTTTATGATTTTTTAGAATGTTGATTTATTATTCTTCAGAATGATTTTTTTATCATTCCTTTAAATAATATTTTATCATTTTATTAGAATGATTGATTTATCATTCTATCATAATAATATTATTTATTATTTTTTAAAATGATAGTTTATCATCTTATTGCAATGATGCATTCAATTAGAGTGATATTTTATATTTCTATCAAAACTAAATATCTATTATTTACTAAATATAACTTGAGTCAAATTGAGTTGAGATTTAAAATTTTTTTTTTATTTGATTTGAATTGACTCAATTTTTTTAAATTTAGTTGAATTTATTTAAAAACTATCTCAATCAGACATTTAGAACTCTAATAACATAAAATTAGAAAATGTATATAATTGATAGTAGTACTCCATAAGGGTTGGGTCAGGTCGGGTTTGAAGCAAACTCGAACTTGAACCCGTTAATATTTACAGGACCCGAATTCAACTTGACCCGATTATTGTTCGATCTGACCTGATTATTGTTCAACTCGTATTCAACTCGAATTTTAAATTTTAAGGTAATATTCATACCGAAAGTAAGAAAATTTTTTTATTTATGTATATAATGAAAAATGTGTATTTAATTTGAAAGTTTTTTATTTTTAAAGTTCTTTGGTTATACATTAATTCAAATTTAGATTTTTAAATATATTATTGGCTCTAGGAATTCGAACACATACATGGTAAATTTATCGGCTTTAAGTCTAAAATCATTCAACCGGAACACTCATTGTTTATTAAAATAATTTCATTTCTATTTGTATGATTGCGCTTTAAATAATGACATAATTTTGTTGTATTTGAATCACCAATATTGCGGAGTCACGTTTTATATCCACTAATATTTTTGAAAAAAAAAAATATCAACCGATAATATACTCTATTTAAAATAATATTAGCATCTAACTTCTCGATGTGTTTTTGAATTTATATTCAGGTGGAAGAAGTTTCTCTTCAAAACTTTTTGGCAAGAAGTTCACTTCGCAATTATTTTCAAGAGAAGCTGTAATTAATAAGGTCGATAGTTTTACTCAAAAAGTTGCATATATTACATATCATTTAATAGCATCACGTGATCATTTGGGTTATCCAGGTTAAGCAAAATCGAGACTCTAACCCGATAGGTTTTAAGAAATTAGAACTCGTGACATAAAATGATTGTCCTGACTCAAATTTTTTCTCGAGTCAGGTCAAATGACCTGGGCCAATTCGACCGGCTCAGAGCACTAGTTGATAACACATTACATATCATACACAATTGATTTTATTATGAATCACAACGCATTATGGATGAAAATCATTTTCATATTAGAATGAACTTCATGTAACCATAATCATATCACTTCATTTTATTTTTATTCACTTGTTTCATTATACAACGTTGATATAAATTAAATAATTTAACGGAATATCAAATATATTATCAGGTTCAATCAATTTTTTCATGCTTTAATAATTTTTTTCACATATACGCGGACTTATGTCTTAAAATTAAGGTTTTTTTAAGATACTTTTAAAGTATGAACAAATATATATTTATAGCAATAAAATATGTATAATTTTACAAGAAGAAAAGGAATTTCTTAGGTTGGAAAGGTATGTATTCAGATGGATTTTATGTAAAATTAAAAAAAAGGTTTTTTTTATAATAAAATAAGATTTATAATTTTTATTTTAATAGAAGTTTAATGAAAGAATTTTAATTATTTTATATTTGAATTTTCTTTTGTATTTATCATATAATTGTGTATTTACAAAGTTTTTTTTAGTATAATTATAGGAAATATGTATTTTTTTCCTACAAAATTAAGATATTTTTATTCTAATTTTAGTTTGTAATGTCTCCAATAATCTCTAATTTTCTTTCTATCCCATCTATCCCAATGTTATTTTAATATTACTAATATTTGTTCTATTTCTTCATTAGTAGGAGAATTTACTGTCATCTAATTTTGAAGAATTTCTTTTTCAGATTGTGATATTATATGACACATGATTTTTACTTTTTTTATTAGTAATATACTCTCTTGAATATTTGGATTACCTTCTACAATTGAGTTTATAGTTTGTTTATTATTGAAATTAATTATTTGTAAATTGAAACTTTCATTTGATTTATTATAGTAGGATGATTTCTTTTTGTAGAAGATTCACCTTGTAAGTTAATTTCTTTAGCTCTTTTATCTGTTACTTTTATTTTTTTTTCACTTTTTGAGCATTCTTAACTTTGCTAACTATAACTTCTTTTGCTCTCCTTTCTTTAGTATTTATTGATTCAATTTTTAATACTACTTGGCGATAAATTGCTTTTAATCTTTCTAATCTTGCATTATAACATTCAATTAATTTTTAATATCCTTCTAAATGCATTTGATTACAATTTTTAAATAATTAATATTTTATGTGTTCTACAGATTCAAATGCTTCTACAAGTATATTTATTAAGTTATCAGAGCTTCTTTTCTTTGATCAACCAAATGTTTTCCTCCAGTTTTTATATAATCACCAATAAACTCACTAAATAATAAATCCATTCTTTCTTTTTCAATTTGTGAGCTTTTTATTTGATTTTTTAAATTATCTTTATTAATTACATTTCTTGTAATATTTTCTTTAATAAATTTTACTTCAAATGTTTCTAGTGTTT